GTGGACTCTTTCCAGCAGCTGGTAGTCCTTTTGCAGCAACGGACGCCACGAGATGTGAACGAATACATGTCCCGTATATTTTGTGAAATAGTTCATTATTGGTGTCGACCATAGTTCGCTTATCGGCAAACAGAACACCGTTCGCCCTTTTGGCAGCCTTAGCACATTGCAAAGACAGCTTCAGAAATGGCACAATAATGATTCCCAGCTCTTTTTGTTTGGCTACGTTCCACAGGCACCTGCCATCAAGTAAGAGGTTGAAAGAATTGCCCATCGCGCTCGCCTTCTTCGATGTGACGCACTTCTCAAAGTTAAACTGCATTAATCAAGACCTTTTTGCAGAGTTTGTTCATCATAAGTGTTTCTGGTGGGTTGGCATATCTTACTATCATCTGCAAACAAGACTCCATTGCTGCCCGGTCCATGCCTAAAGTCATAGTCGTATATTAAGAAGAATAATAGCCAAATAACGGAGCCTTGATGCACTCCACTAACAACTGGCAGTGGAAGGGAACTTCGCTCTTCCAACGCACATGGATTGCGATTGACCTCTGAGGAAATCTCCTATCCAATTTATTAAATTCCACCTTACCCCGGATTCACCAGCCTTGTAGAGTAGCCGTTGGTGTGGGACACTATCGAAGGTTTTATTGAAGTCTATGTTAATGACGTTGACGTTGGCATTCTCGTCCAATATCCTGGACCACTACTGGATTGAATAAAGCATATTGAGCAGGCAGGAGTGGCTTCCTCCGTGTTGGCCACCGTCAAAGAAGTATTTTCCTTCGAGAAACTTCATGGTGGCCTTTTTAATAATACTTTGCATAACTTTGCGACAAATCCAAGCTGGGCTTACTGGTCAATAGTTGTTCGCGCTGGTTCTGGATCCACCCTTGTGAATAGGGTATATTTTCGCAAATTTCCAATCAGAGGAGAGGAGGCCTCGATCAAAGGACAACTGCGAAATATGCGAAAGTGGTCTGCAAAGTTTCGTAGCCAGCTCTTGCAGAACTTTTGCCGGTATTTGGTCTGGATCCGGAGACTTAGCTTCATTAGGCACAAGAAGTTCCTTCTTCAAATCCTCTTCTGTGAAATCGTGGTCCTCCATGATTGTGTCCTTTTTCCATGCAAGGAAGTCTGCCGGATTAAAATGTTGTTCCTCAGTGAAAACAGATGCGAAAAACTGGCTAGAGTGTTCTGTCTTTTCGGGATTTCCAGGAATTTTTTCGTTGTTTTCATCTTTTAAGACTGCGACTGTTTTTTTAATTTTTAACTTACTGTCGATGTAGCTAAAGAGCACTTTTGCCTTATGTACGGCCCGTTCTTTAATTTTTGCTTCATATTCCTTCCGTGATTTGCGAATCCTTGACCTTATCTTATTCCGCTTTCGGCGGATTTCTTCTTAGTGTAAGGGTTGACTTGTTGATGTATATCTCTTCCAAAGCTTGTTCTTCCTGTTTGTCGGACTCTTCAAATCCCGCGTTAACCATGTTGGTCGGCTCGCCTTTTACACTTTTTTCAGTGGATAGTTGCGATGCATAACATCGTTTATAACATCCCTGAGAATATGCCAATCGGCGTCCGGACTACAGGTAAAAATGTCTTATCAATTTAATATCGATAGCTCACTTCTCCTTGTGAGGTAATTTCCGCGCCAATAATTTAGTCGAACCTCCGTATTTTTCGCTTGATTGATGTTTAAATAGTATTCCCACAGAAGAATGACATGGTCGCTCTTGCCAACCGGTGCGATTGACTTGAGTTCAATTGCATCATTTGGGTCTGTCGAAAGCACGACGCCTGGACAGTTCGCTGTTTGTGCCTCTTTGATCCTTCTTGGAAATGCCACATTCTCCACGAGAAATAGGATCCCCATTAGCTTTAATAGTCTGGAGCTAAAAGGCTCGCGCGAATCTTTTACTGATTACTCGACCCAGTCGATCAGTGGGGCATTAAAATATCCATCCATCAGTGCGTTTTCAATTTGGGCCTAGTCTCTCATTAGGCCAAACATGGTCTCGTCAACCTCGGGAGATTGATTTGGCGCCATGTAGATAGTCATGAAATGCAAAGTGGGTGTGCCATTCGTTTTCAGTTTAAGCCATAGTGCATTGCAATTGTGGGAGCAACTTAGTTTGCGTTCTGACGCAATGCTGCCCCTTTTGAAAAACACTGTTCTTCCTCCTTCCTCTTCTGTGCATCCGGTCCCGACAAAACACTTGATAATCCCCCGGGTAAAATCTCGACATCCTTTACATCTGCCTGTAACCAGGTCTCTGGAAAGGATATGAAATCCGGCTGTTAGTCAGCTACACAAACTTTAAGCTTACAAATCTTCTGAAGCAAACTCTGTGCGTTCGAATAAACAAAGCGCAGTTTCGCTGGTATAGATTACTAAGCGATTTGTGGGTCGGGGTAGCCGAAACGTTTTTGCGGATTATGTACTTAATTGCCCGTATTTGATCTCCGGTGGAGTTCGGTTTTAAGTTCCTTCCTCTTCTTCTGCGATCAGGGATTTCAACCATTTAAACTCTTCAAGTTCCCCAAATTACTCTCTTAATTGAGGTAGAGCGCCCCCCTTTTGTTCCAGCTTGTATAACATCTACTGTCGCCGGTCCCGTATTACACAATTATGGGGAGATTGTTACCGTTAGACAAGATTTCATGGAAAATTTTGATGCATTCATTTCAAAAAAACTCTGATCACCTCTCTTTCCTTATGTCTCTCTATTACTGCAAGTTCCTTTCCATATCAGCATGGTGGAATGCCCACTATGTGAATAAAACTATTTTGTATTCATTGAATCCTTTTTGTTATTAGTCATGTTTGTCGGAGGATGGCAGTCAGGTGCAAAAAGTGATCTTAACTATAATGATAATATTTGCTTATGTTTAAAACAAACAACCCACTGAACTTCCTGGACTACCTTCATGATCCACCATATCGAAAGGACGAGTTCTGTTTGAAAGCTCAGACACGTGTTTTGCCGGTGTTCTGCCGCTGAATGACCACTGGAGATGTTATATCTTGTACCTCCAATGAATGTGCAGAGCGCGGTCAATGAATATTACGCGTTTAACATTTCAACAGTTGCCTCCATCTTCCACGGAAGATTAAAAAGAAGGGGCAATTTCTGACGCCAAGTTGTATATCAGCTGACCTTTCGAAAAAATTCTCGCTTTCATCGGCAGAGCGTAGTGTCTCTTCTCCTGCTGGCGTCGAGTGAGTGTGTCTCACCACCAGATGCGTGTGATAACTGTGCCTGATGCTTGCAAATCAATTGCAAGTGGCTTTTTGAATTGTTTTCGCCCTCGTGGGCACCTCCATGAGATTTGTCACATCGTTCGTGTGCCTTCTGAACGTTTCCACCTTCTTCGCTCGCGGCTGCCGGCTGTCGGCCCTG